AATTATATGTACACTGCGCGACAACCGATTAGCACACTCTCTAACCTATCAGTTTAAAGGGAAATAACTCCCAAATCTGAATATGTTTCATGCGCATTCTATTTTTCCTTTTATTCTGGATCATTTTCTCTCATTCTAAGTATCACTGTGAGCTCCGGAAGTGTACCGTTATTTTGCTTAACTTTTTTCTTTGAAGTGCGACAAAAATGCATGCATGTAAAGTAATAATGTTCATAGAAAAACCGTTGCACGAGTCTGAAAAAGGCAAAATAAAGGCTTACAGGGAGTGCGGGCTCTCTATTCTCCAAATATCAAAAAATATTAAGCGCAGCCGTAAAGTTATTACCGCATATTTAAGCAATGAGGATACATATGGGAAAAACATGAAAGGTCGGCCATCATCAGTAATAACAGCAGCTGACAAGTGAATCATACTACGACACGCATCTAAAAGAATTCCCACGACTCAGCCGCCAAAATAAAGGAAAAAACTGGTGTTAAAGCGTGCGTTCGGACTGTGCAAAGAGTTTTTTCGAATGCTGAACATATAAAGCATATAAAATTAAAAAAAAAACCACCTCTAAACCAACTTAGAAAGATGCAACGACTCAATTTCTGTCGATAAAATATGATATGGACTAAGGAATGGAAGCGTGTAGTCTTTTCAGATGAAAAAAAGTTCAATTTGGAGCGTCCTGACGGCTATGCCTACTACTTTCATGATCTCAGAAAGGAAGAGCATACTTTAGATCGATTGCACAGTCGTGCGGGTGGTGTCATGGTGTGGGGAGCTTTAGCATACTTTGGCACTATAGAACTGCAGTTTCTTACCAGCCGTATGTATGCTATTGCATACAAGAGTTTACTGAATACGGCTTTCCCTGCAATCAAGGATATTTTTGGACCCTTGAAATGGAAGTTCCAGCAAGACAACGCACCTATCCACACAGCCACGATTGTAAAGTCCTGAATTGATGGTCAAAACGTGGAATTACTGACTTGGCCGCCATACTCTCCCGACCTAAACATTATAGAAAATGTTTGGGGATGGCTGGCACGAAAGGTGTCCGAGTCCGGCAGGCAGTATTCAACTGAAGAAGAACTCATTGAAGAAATAAAAAGGTCCTGGGAGGCTGTTTCACTCAATTATATAAAAAAATTATATGACTCCATACCTCAGCGGATGTTCGAAGTCCTACTTAACCGTGGAGGCTCAACACATTATTACTTTGTTTTCAAAAAAAAATTAAAAATATTTAAATTAATATTAAAAAACAATTTGAATGAAGTTTGAACCCATTTTCTATTGTTATTTTAAGTTTTTAAGTGACTGTGCTAATCGATTGTCGCAAAAATAATAGTGAATTTTGTATGTTATGTTTGTTTACATTAATTTAAAATGTTTTTGATAAAGCTAGTATCCTATCTTCTATTAATTTTCGTGTGAAATTATATATTCTTTTAGGGGGAAAAAATTCATTTGAAAAGCTTTTTTAGTTTTCCTGATATTGAGATTCTAAGACGAGCTAATCGGTTGTCGCGCAGTGTACGTGTCCATCCATTATTACGTACATTCATTTGGATAGTTGAATTTCACCAAATTAAATTACCATTTGCAGCGAATGTTTAAATAACATACATAAATTATCAAATTAAGCTTTGATAACGTAAAATTATGTTTTGCTGATTACTTAGCCACCGCAGTTGAGTAGTTAGTTGTACGTGGCACTAGTGGAAGGAAAAAACTAAAAAAAAAAATCATAATATTATATATGTCGCTTTGCTATACCGAAATGTTTGGGAGCGAAATAAAGGGTGTTTTTTTAAGAGCAATAGGAAAGATTAAAAAAAAAAAAGAAAAACAAAGAAAAATGCATGAAATCTTTATTTGATTGATAATTTAATGCTCGAAGATTATTTCATGCAAATGTTGACCGTGTATGCGCTTCAAATGGTCCATCCGCTTAGTCCAATTTCGGCATACTCTTTCCAACTTTTCGGCCAGTATCTCACGAATAAATGCTTCAATGTTGTTCTCCAATGCATCAGTTGAAGCGGGTTTGTCTCTATAGACATTAGATTTAAAATACCCCCACAAGAAGTAGTCTAAAGACTTTAAATCACACGGCCTAGGCGGTCAATTGACCGGTCCCAAACGCGAAATAAAATGTTCTCCGAACTCGTCTCTCAATAAGTCCATTGTTACGCGTGCTCTGTGGCATGTGGCACCGTCTTGTTGAAACTACATCGCATGCAAGTCAAGTTTTTGCATTTTGGGCAAAAAAAGTTGGATATCATCTCACGATGGCATTCACCATTCACAGTTATGTTACGATTCGCATCATCTTTGAAGAAGTACGGTCCAATGATGCCACCAGCGCCCATAAACCGCACCAAACAGTGACTTTTTCTGGACGCATTGGTAGCTCTTGCAATGCTTCTGGCTGATCTTCACTCCAAAATCTATAATTCTGTTTACATTCGCACCCATTAAGCCAAAAATGAGCTTAGTCACTGAACACAATTTTCCGATAAAAAAGCGCGCGATGAACTTTCTTAACAGCGCACGCATTTTGATAATAAAATTCTGCAAGCTTTGTTCGTTTGTTAGGTTAAATTATAGACTAAACTTAAGATGTCTGACCGTGATACAAAACACGAAACGTGCGTCAGCTGTTTAAATCAGTGTTGCCGAAAAGATAATAGCTAAAAGATCATCCTTTATAAGAAGGATCACCTCGAGGCATACAATATCGAAAGCGTAGACCAGGTGATACTCTGTCGTTTTTTTTAATCCAACTATTTAGCTCTACCAGGGCACGGCTACAGCAACAATCCAGATACGATTCATGAAGTGAAAGACGAAATTGATACTACAGGCATTCTTTTCTTAGTTGAGTGTCTCTGAAATATACATAATTTGATTCAATCAACCTCAGTTTCCTTGTGATGAGGCTATTAGAGCGACAAACTCATTCAAAAGACCGTAAAAAAGAAGTGTTAAAATATTTAACATATTTTCGATTTTAATTTGAGTTGCATTGGTTCTAGGACGAGAGTATTTTAACTTCTCGGTTGCCCATAACAAGATTTTTTCCGTAAAACCGGTTTAGCTCATTGCCCAGTGTTATTCCAGGTTGCCAGTATAGTCTTTTTTAAAGTAATATTAAATAATCGACGACAATGCGCAGTTTTTTTCAAAAGAAATGAAAACTTAATTCGCAATTAATTATTTATTACCATATACATAGGTCATGTATATTTGATTGGCGTTTATAATAAAATATATTAATTATGAAATTCGTTGGCGAAAATTATAAATTTGTTCAAAACTGTGCAAAGACACTGGCAGCTGGCAACAACTCGTGTATGCATACCTCTCTTCCAGTCAGATGTTATGGATGTGCGGAATGTAAGTTGGGTAGTTTTTGCTGCGTTCATAGTTTATGCCGAGTGCTCGTTTAAAATAATTGAGAGGATTTGAATAATCGTGCATAGAATTTAGGCTTTTGGTGATGTAGATGCGGTCAGAACGATAGACCGGATTATTTGCAATTTTACACTGCTGCACTTTGAAAGTTTTCGGTTTCAACCTAGGCGAATTCATAAAAGAGAACAAACACAGCAATTTCCATATATTTTGTTTTTAATTTAGCTTAGCGGTTGTCAGTATCGTGGAGAATTGATTGACTTTCAAAACCGCTCAAATCACCATCACAATTTTGCCAAACTTTTTTGCTTACAAAGTATTGTAAAATGAAATGATTTTCTTAGCATATTATTTGTTTGAAGTGTAAACACAGCTTTAAACATTAGTTATTGTAAGCATACCAAGATGTCGATAATTATAAACCTACTTTAAGACCATTAGTTATCGTTTTCGACAATGGCATATATTTCCTGGGGCATTTATTCTTTAGTACGTTTTTAAGAAAAATTGCTCGGACACGATTTTCAATTGTACCGTCTGATATTTTTTAAACAAAAATAAATGCTCAAATAAAATTAAAGGATTTTTATGATTTAATAAATACTCATTATTAAATACTAATATTATATGGGCATAATTCTGTTGTGAATTTAATTAAGGGGCACACCTAGTGTAATGGCCTAAAAAAAGGTGATTTTTGGGAATTTTTATTAAAAAAAATACTTAATCAATTATTTCAAAATCTTAAAAATATATTTATACATGTTTTAAGAATATACAGTGAAATTTTTGAAGAAAAAAATGAAATATTTTTTAAGTTATAGTCGATTTCCAACGGCGCGAAAAAAGGTCCTTCACTGCTGTAGTGATTCCGGCCTTCTCCGTGGATGACATCTAAAAAAAAAATTCTCGTCAAGATAATTTTGTCTGTACAATGACCTACGATAAAAAATATCAAAAATTGACAATATGGCGGCGTTTAAAAAAAAATTGTCAAATTTTATCCAAAATTTTGGTCGTTTTTGGACTGCCAAAATTCGATTTTTTGATCAGATCAAAATCGATAGGTCATTGTACGGAGAACTTTATATAGAGCATGAAAAAAAAGGATCATTTGTTTATGAGAGATCACTGCAGCAAATTCCGAAAATGCTGTTTCGAGAAAAATGCGTTTAAGGATAAAATGATCGTTTTCACTCGTGGCTAATGAGACTCTCTAGCTGCCGATCAGCTGCTCTTTAAATTGCTGTAACTCAAAAACTGTTTGAGATATCGATTTGAAATTTTAATATGCCATTTCTTAAGGTGTAATCTACCCAAATATGAAAAAGAAACAATTTTTTTTTTTGGAATTCCAGACGAAGTGTGCCCCTTAAGTTACCGGATGGGCTAGTAGAACGCCTTTTCAGGAATTGGATCTGAGAGTGATCTATTCAAATTTAACTTGGATTAACTTTCAGAATTGATTCTTTCTGAACAATAAATACTTTTTTTTCTTACATATTTAATATTGTATGTGTGCTTAGTAAATGTGCTGCTAAAAAAAAAATAAATAAACCTCTCTCCACAGATATTCCGCTTACTATTGGAAGGTAACTCGTGAGAATCGGCGCTGTTATATGGACTATTATTATACGGAGAATGGTAAGCAAATGTATGGCGTTCCTTTGGGTGGTATTGGTGGCGGTACTATAGGACGTGGTTTTGCTGGCGAGTTCTGTCGTTTTCAAATGCGTCCCGGCATGTATGAGTATAATGTCGTGCAAGCGAATCAATTTATTGTGACCATTAAGGATGCTAAGGGTTGCACGATATTTCAGAGTTTACTATCGAAGCATAGGTAAGTGAATGCAAAATTGCATATACTCGTACATATATTTCCCTTAAACTAAAAAGCATGTTTTGCAAGTAATTCGTCGTATAGCCTTTCCCACTATGTAACTAACTCCTCGAATCCTTTGTTGAAACACCTTTGAATCCTGTTCTGTAAGTTGTCATATCACTGTATGTATACATATATTTCCTTTGACAAACTGTACTTTTGTTATTTTTTGAACTATATATTATTTGACGGGAATAACTTAGACATTTGTTCTTTTTATTTTATTTTTTTATTGTTCACTTCATTGATCATAGTAACTTTGTAGATGCTTCAAAGCTGTCTGTATACACAGGTTTTCTGTTCGCACATATTTCATGTCATGCTTTGTCACAATTTGCTATTCGTATCCGCTTCAACTATGAACACACATGCCTTTGTAAAGGGTTTTCCAATAAGAGCTGTTATTTTGAATATGCTATTCCAGTAGATGCCACTATTAAAGCTGCAATTTTTTGACATTTGACGAGTAAAAGCCACGCCAATAATGAAAATGGAATGGAATGGAACTATTAAAATTCACTATAAAAATTGTGAAAAAACCCTGCCAGAGACGGTTCTTGAAGCATCTTGTCGGACCACAATACAGAAGTTGGTGGAAAAAATGGAGATGTTAGGACAAGTTAGTGATGTGAAGAATAAACCACGTGCGCGTTGTTCCAGAACTATTGTGAATCTTGCTGCAGTAGCCCAAAGTGTTGAAGAAACCACAGGTATACTCATTCCTCTTCGTTCTTTGGAATTGCACATTCCACAAGTGTCATTACACCGTATTTTGCAAAGAGCCTAGTGTCTTGAGTCTTATAAAGTTCCGTTAACACAAGAACTCAAGCCGAGCGATCATTAACAACGCAGCGTGTCTTTGCTGTTAGGATCTTTTGAAATGCATGAAAATGATTCGGAATTTCATCGACAAATCAATTTGACTGACGAGGCCCATTTCCATCTCGATGGCTACGTCAATAAGCAAAACTGTCGCATCTGAGGCTCGGAAAACCCAAGCTTTATTGTTGAAAAGCCTCTACATTCTCAACGTGTTACGGTTTTGTAAGGTTTAAGGTTCGGCGGGGTCATTTGATGGTGATTTTACGAAAGTGAAGTTGTAGCAACAGCTAAGATGAATGGATTGCGCTATCTTTCGAGAGATGTTTAATGATTTTTTATGGGCAGAGTTGGATGGCATTGACCTGGACGACGTTTACTTTCCACACGACAACGCTACTTGCCCCATAAGCAACAAAACGGGCGATCTTTTAAAGGAGAAGTTTCCGTATTATCTCTTAAAGTGGTCCACCGAGATGAAGCGATCTAACATCTTGCGACTTCTTCCTTTAGGGCCACCTGAAAGATAAAGGCTATGCCAAAAAAGTCAATGTCAATTCAATATCTTAAAAATGGCATTTGGGAAGCTATTGAGGGCATGCAGCAGCCACTTTGCGATTTGATGATGGAAAAATCCATAAAAATGATAAAAGATTCTGTAAGCGTAGCCGTGACAGCCATTTGGCTGATAATAATTTCCATTATTCCTGGCTTATCTTCTACTTTGTATTAAAATAAACAACCCAATATTTATCTCAATTTTTCTATGAAAATCTAAATTACACGTATTATTGGAAAACCCTATATTAACTCTTTGAAAAAGTTGTCATGATTTAAAGTCCTTATCGTCGTCCTCATCGTTTTAATTTAACTTTAGCATTAAAATATCGTATTTCAGCTTGTCCTGTGAAGTAAAAGATTTTAAAGTACGTATTTTTTTATTGTTTATTATTAACAATGTGAGATATTTAAAATTGAATTTTTGTTGCGTATAACAAGAGGTCAAATGTCAGCTCAAATTCGATTACCCTGTATAAATTATTTGTTGTGATAATTGTTAATTGTTTGTAGTTCGTACAGACAATTGAAATTTAATTCATAAATTTAAAAAAGCAATTTTTAATTATTAATACCCATAAAATGGCAGTGAAGATTTTGTCTTTTCTTTTATTCCACTTCTGAATTATCAGTATTATATGCTCTCAAATAACAATGTTTTTAAAAATTCATTAACCTCGTAGAAAAGACACTTTTGTGATAGATCTAAATTTATTTTTCCATTTAATTATTCAATGCTTACCTGGTTATAGCCGAATCAATAATAGCGAGGCATTAGTTTCTTCTTCTCGCTGCTCGGCACCAATTTGAGAATACATGTATGTAGGTCTTTCTCCGCCTAATCTTTCCAACAGAGCAAGAAATTGCTTACACACCTCTTCTTCTGTTTTCAACTGTGGCTATTGCAACGAATATTCTCACAGCAGGATCCCTTTCAACCATTGCATCGTCTACAGCATACGCCATTGACGAGGCGCATGGGTCTATAAATCCTTCACACAACATTCTTATTAAAAACTTCTTGCGCCGTTTCTGTACCATACAGCAGGACGGGAGTGCTGAGCAACTTGCAGAGCTTTTTCTATACGCATGAGAGACGACTATACTACTCAGTCCAAAGAGTCTCCTGTCGGCGAGAGCGATTCTGCGTTGGATTTCAAGGCTGGCATTGTTGTTGGTGTTAATACTATTCCAAGAGAGATGAAATTAACTATGACCTCGAAGTTATAACTGTCAAAAGTAACTTAAGAACCGAGTGGAGAGTAAGCTGGATGTTGGCTTGATAGCGCGAGATGTTATTTCGTTCAACATCCTTTTGCTCAGCCGTATAAATTTTACAGGAATACCAAATTCAAACATAGCGGCGTAAAGGAAGCTAATTTTCGTGCTTTAGAATATAGTTTTAAAATCGATAAAAGATAGAGTGTATCGATTATATTCTATAGTGAATGCCTCTAGTCGATTTACCAAGTCTAAAATCGCAATACTAAGCGCCGATCCGCTGCGAGCTTTCATCTTACACACACCATATGCTAAATAAGACTGTATGCAATAATAAAGAGGCTTTTCCCTTTTTAATTAGGGAGAGCCCACTGCCGTTTCAATCATCGGTCACACTTTTTATCGATCATAATTTACAGTGAAGCTGAAGCGTGATGCATTACCGACATATTTGGACACCTCAGCCGGTATGCCATCGGCTTTCACTGCTTTGTTATTGTTAAAGCGATCGAACGCTATTCGAACTTCGTCATATGCTTGTATTGGTAACGTCTTTTCCATCACCATCGTTTGGAGATTCGGGCTGACCATCCCCGGGTTTTGCATTCAGCAGGGTGGAGATTTTTTGCATCCATCAACTCGGCATGTTCTCGACATGAGTCACCAGATTACTTCCTTGTTATTTGCATGAGTATGTTCCGGTCTTGAAACGTTCTGTGAGTCGTCATTCTCTTTCATAGAAAATAATATTAACACTGTCTTCCAGCTCCTTAGGCTCTTCATTGGCACGTAATTCAGACTTTCTCGTTTAGCGTTGTTGTTTTTGTACCCGTAAGTACTCCAAAGTAGTTTTTGGGTCATGTTGCGGGAGTGACAGTCCTTGGCCAGATAGAAATCAGGGTGGTTCCGGTATGAAAACCCGACTGTCGCCGGAACATTTGAATTTTAGTCGCCTCTTACGACTAGCATGCCTTATCGCGAGAAAACTTGAACTACTAGGCCCCAGTTGTCCCTCCTTTTTGCCTCCATAAGCGCCCGACGTTGGCTTGCGGCACGACAATGCTCATCGTGCCAGTTTTTCTTTTGACCTTGTTTCTGTAGCGGCGGTATGTAAAGAGCTGGAAATGAAAGAAGGGCATGCATACGTTTTGTATGTCGGGTTCAAGTTTGATCTACTACAATATCCAGACGTAAGTTGTGCCGGTATTACGCGGGACTCTCGAGGCAGCTCGTGCTCTTCGTCTCGAATTGGTGGTGGGTCCTAGAACCTCTCTTGCTTGAAGAGAGTTCAGGTAGAGGTTGATGAAATCTTTGTTAATGGCCTTTAGTGTCTGTCGACCGTTGTAGGTGATAATGAAATGCTGTCCTTGAAGTCGAGTACTCGCTTCCTGATGTGCCTGGGTAACCACCCAGTTCGGCTCCTAGTAAGTGTCTCTTAGAGTGTTCCCTATGGTAGCATCCTACTATAAACTGCTTGCACAGCAAAACATTATGCTCGTAGATGTTTCGCTGAGTAAATGATGCTCTGGCGACATCCGAAAGTTTCCTCTCATGGTCCCGAGGGCGGTGTTTTGGCAGACTTATAGCTTCCTCATCATCAACACTGTTTACGACCTCTTCTCTGATTTTTCATCAGGTGTTGCCGGCTAACGCTTTGAGAATTTTTTGCGGCTATAAATTTTTGTGGCAGTAGATTTTTGTGCAGTCGAATGTAGAGTGAAGGAGTACAGACTGTCGAATGTGACTCCCAGTAACTTGAGGTTATTTATAGTCGTAACTTTTACGCCATCGATTTTCAGATCGAGTTCGAGCCTGTACGCCTTCGTCCAGCTGGTAAAGAGGGTAATCGAGAATTTTGTTTGTTGTAGATGTTGTCTAGCAGTCAGGTGAAAAAGGTCGAAAGGCGGCTCTGTTGTTGTTGTTATTGTTGTTGTAGCGGTCCGCTTAGGCACAGGCTTGATCAGGCTAAGTCGCCGAGGTCATCTAATGGTAGGTCCAGGAAACGAGCTGTTTCGACGGGGTTGGACCAAAGGGAGAGGGGGGTTAGATGAGTTGGTTTGAGAGGGCATGTGAAGAGGTGGTTAGTGTCGTGCGGAGGCTCTCCACATGTATTGCATACGCCATTCACTGGAAGGGAGTTGACTGACTCCTGGTGAATGGCGTTCAGTGCTTGTCGGTACGCCGTCCTGTCCAGCGGTTGTTGTACATGTTGCTGGATTGTGTCCTTTAAGTCTAGTACTCCCTTTCTGATGTGCCTAGGTGGAGGAAAGGCGGCTCTCACCACAGCCGGTTCTACGCAGCGGAGTTGACTCGAATTTTATTCGGCCAAGGGCTGTCACCCTTTTAGCGACCTAATCCCCTTCCGGTTTCCAAGTAACATGAATGTGGTGGTTCTCAGAAGCAACACTATGGTTGCTTCGCCTGCTCACTTTAACTTGGCCCCAGACGGATTTTTGTTATAATTTTAATTACCTCCTTAAAAAAAATTGGTTTATTTTCGATTGTGATGAATTTATAGAAAGGACTTTTTAATTTCTTAATGGCCTTAAGGTTCGTGTTACTAAGCTAAATATTGTATGTGTATTTGTATCTAAGAGAGCCGTTGTGGCAATCGGGAAAACTATCTTCGATTGGAATTTTTGTATAAAATTAACTCTGAAGCGTAGTCAGCTAAGTCAATTAAAAGTTTGCACCAAAGCAAAGCTACAAAATACTAACTAAATTTTCGCCGTTACCAATTACATATTCACATGCATTAGTTAAAACTGCGATAAATGAACATACACGTGAAGAAGTTAGGTTTGCGACTACCAAAAACTCGCTAACTCAATTAACATGCTCACGCTGGGTTGGGCAACTCAACTAAAAAGCGCTATGGAAAACCGAACGAAGTTGAGGAAGCAAATTCACATTCACACAACATTGTAGACAAATAAAATTTATATGTACAGGGTTATCCAATAAGAGCTGTTATTTTGCATAGAACTGTTATTCCGGTTGATAGCAGTTTGAAGCTGTAGTTTTTCGTCATTTGACAAGTAAAACTTACGTCAATAATAAAAATGGAACGACACACGTTTAAACAACGCATTGAATTATTAAAATTCACTATAAAAATGGGGGAAACCTAGCAGTGGCGGAAAAGAAAACTCGTAAAATCAAAACATTTTTCGTTCGTCGTGGATTACCTTGTCGGTCTGCATTACAGAAATTGTTGGAAAAACTGGAGCTGTTGGCACAAGTCAATGATGTGAAGGATAACATACGTACACGTCTCTCAAGGACAACTGAGTATATTGCCGCCATAGCCCAAAGTGTTGAAGACACCCCATGCTTGTCCATTCCACGCCGTTCTTCGGAATTGCGATTCCACAAACGTCGGTACACCGTGTTTTTCATAAAGACTTGAGTTATGGTCCGTAATTTCATCGAAAAATCGTTTTGACTGATTAGACCACATTCCACCTCGATGGCTACATCAATAAGCAAAAAATTCTGAGGCTCGAAAAATCCAAGATTTTTTCTGTTGAAAAGCCTCTCCATCCTCAACGTGTACGGATTGGTGTGGTTTATGATTCGGCGGGATCAATGGATATTAAGTTTTCGAAAATTAGGCTGAAGCAGGAGCTAAGATGAATGAATCACGCTATCTATCGAGAGATGTTTAATGATTTTTTATGGGTGGAATTGGATGACATTGATCTTGAAAACATTTATTTACTAAAAGACGGCGCTGCGTGTCGCAAGGAAATCATCGATCTTTTAGGGGAAAAGTTTAAAGACCTTGTTACCTCTGGAAGAGGTGAACGCATTCGGCCACCGATATCCTGTGATTTAACACCCTGCGACTTCTTCCTAAAAAGGCCAAGTGAAAGATAAGGTCTACACCAACAGTCCAACATTGTTTCAAGACCTCAGAGCAGGGATTGGTGAAGCTATTGAAGGTCTCTTTGCGGTTTGATGATGGCAAATTTCACAAAAACAATACGGTTCTATAAGCGTAGCCGTGACAGCCATTTGGCTGATATTGTCCGCCATTCTTAATGGCATACCTTCCTCTGTACATTGAAATAAGCTTTCCAACATTTATCTCAAAAAATGCTATTTTTCTTCGAATATCAAAACAACAACTCTTATTGAAAAACCCTACATTTGAAATGCCGAAAATTTAACAACTGTGCTGTCTATGTTTCTACATTTGTCAAAGTGTTTATGTTTGTAAATAGTATACTATATGCATGTAAGTCCAATAAGCTACAAGGGAAACCTTAAAAAATGATAGTAATTCCAAAATTTCATTTATTTTTAATTTTTATTTTTACAAATCTTTTTTCTTTTTCTCTGGTATGCATCTAAACTATACACACATACACCTGTTGTTCGAAATTTTATACGTGAACGCCTAAAAATATGCGTCGACAAAAATGGATCAATATGACTTCACCATCACCCTCAACACTGCCGCACACACGCTTACCCAATTGTAAACAAACAAACAAACAATTGGAAAAACACGGCGGAAACGGGAATCACACATTCAACGCTAAATTTATACGCTTTTAAAAATATTACTTTTGCTGTGATTTTTTATTATTTTTTTTTTATTTAACACGCTTTCATAACCTTTTTTGCGCAAACTCATTTTATTTCCCTTAACAAAATTTGCACCTTTTCCATTGATTATCAAATGAATTTATATACACACACACACTCAAAATAAACAATTCATTTTCATCTCATTTATTCATGCTTCAAATCTTCATCATCTGCCATCAAACACTTCACTACCTTTAAATGACACTCCTTGTCCTCCTTACTCCTCCTCCTCTGTCAACCAATCCCCAATCACATGTAGCGCCCTTGACAGCGTCAACTCTCAATGTAATATGCCCAATTGCAGCAGTCGCTCCAAACAGCCTCTACACACCTGGCACTCCAACATTGATGACTCGAAATGCTCTTATACGGGCTTGTATCCGCGCGCCTGGACCGAATATGATCTTACTGCGTACGGCGTGCGACTGATTTGTCGTCAAATTTCGCCCGTCATACCGCACGACTACAAAGACTCCTGCCTGCCTTGCGCCGTCTTCGTGTGGTCTGTAGAGAATGTATGCGCGGAGGAGCGTAAAGTTTCCATAACATTCACGTTTAAGAATGGTACTGGCACTAAAAAACAAGACGCCGAAGGCGGTGCTGAGGCAATGCTTATTACGCAGGGCAATGTGAAGGGCGTTGGTATACGACAAAAAATTGCTGGCATGCCATGTACCTACAATTTGGGTTGTCGCGTTTTGCCCGAAATCAGTATTACACGCTGCACGCAGTTCGATCCGTACGGCACGGGAGAACAACTGTGGTCAGAGTTAAAGGAGAATGGACAACTCAATGAAAAGCATTGTGATGAGGCGTTGAAAAGTGAGTAATGAAATTAGTAATTAAAAATTGGAACATAAATTTTATATTTACTAATGCCTGATTGGTGATAGAAATGATCCCTTTGTCCTTGCGTAGGTGTCTTTAAAATACGTCGAAGGTTAGAAATCTAAAATAAACATTTATAGCTTTTGTATATCGCCAAGGGATATTCCAATAGGAACGAAATGATATATAAGTGTAATGTTTACAAATTTATCATGGCAAGATATACATAAAAACAACGTTTGAAAACAACAACAACTACAACAGCAACAACTTGAAAATGATAACGATTTTTTTTAAGAAAATCATCTTCCCCGATGATCTGAGTGGTGCGGTAAATAAAAGAACTGTCTATGGTTCTGGTTTGAAGAAAATCCACAAATTATTCATGAACAACCGTCACATTCACCCTAAATTGACAATTGGAAGAAGTTGATCTTAACAACATGTGGTTCCACCAAAAGGATCGACGTGTCACACCGTACGTGCAACAATCGAATTATTGCGAGAAAGGTTCGGAGATTCGATTTAAATGAAGAAATTGTGACATTAAATAGCCTCCAATAAGTTGTGATTTAACACAATTAGACTACTTCTTTTTTATCTATTATTTCTGTATATCGTGGAACCCAAATTAGTACTGTTTTCAAACAAAAAGCGAACACTTCCCTTTAGAATATGCTGGGGTATTTGGCCAATCAATATTGAGATCCTTATCCTGGGGTCCACAATCCTCGTAGTAAATAATGTCTGTGAGTGTAGATTAACTTCCCTTTCTATCCTGGATTAGTTTGACATCTTTACGTCTAGTCTCATACTGAAGTTGGAATCAAAATAGGTTACTCCTTGTATCCCATCTATTTCTGTTCTCCTTTTTGTTGATACGACTTCTTCTCTCCGCGTTCCCTCTCTCATCATTGTTGATAGAGCCCTTTGATTGCTTTGTGCAGGAATGTGAAATCAAGGAGAGATTTTCAGCTTCTCTGTGGTGCATATTACTCATATGAAACATATATTTTCTTAAAGACAAGGTTAATATGAATATAAAGAACTGCTTTTGAACGTAGATATAAGCATAAGCTTACAGGAAAACACACGCTAGTTGTTGCTGTTCCTATCCCGCTTAGGGACAGGCTAGTTATTCTAATTAACCGGGGTTATCTAACGGGAGGTCCAGGAAACGAGCTGGTTTGACGGGTTCGGAACGCAGGGAAGGGAGGATAAATGTGTCGCTTTTATGGCGCATGTAAAGAGGTGGTTGGTGGTATGTCTGGGGACTCGTTACAGGGTGAAAATACATTGGGTATGCTGTGGTCGATTTTGGATAGGTAGGAGTTTAACCTGCTACAATATCCAGACCTAAGTTGTGCTCACGAGGCAACTCGAGCTCTTCGGCTGCTATGGGTAGTGATTTGACTCTGAGGATGCCCTTTACAGGGAGGGACGGTGTTGACTAACTTTTGGTGAATAGCGTTTAAACTTATTTATTTTCGCAGCTGATAGCCACATAGGAGTCTCACGTATTCCACTTCTGACATAAGCAAAATAAAAACAAAATTGAAATAATAACTTACATAATTGAAACGATTTTGGGCCGAACTCCTCCTCCAATTTGTGATTACCGTCTTGATGTTTTTCCAACAAATGCTACAGCCTCCGAACGGCCGATGGTTTTTTTATAAAGAGCGTTTCGTTTCTTGATAGAAATACACTCGAAGAACTTGTCATTCCCTGCCGAGGGGAGGCTGCAATTAGAAAAATTAACTTAGTTTTATTGCAATAATAACTTACCAAGTAAAAAAAGTTCATTAACATTACTTTCCTCATGCCTGTTTTTTTTTTAATTTAAATCGAGTTTAGGGAAATTAGGAACCCCTTTAGTTTGCACCCCTTATGTGTATGTTTATTAACTGAACTAATTTCATTTATTCAAACACCAGCTAAGGATCTCGGTGTCGCTTTATGCGCACAAATCGCACTCAAACCAAATTCTAGTCATGACTTGGAATTCGTATTAGCCTGGGATATGCCACTGATACATTTTCCAAAGAAACTCAAATCATATACTCGTTACTATACAAAATATTTCGATGCTTCCGGTGAGGCTGGTCCCAAGATATGCGAGTATGCATTGAAGCACTATAGTAGCTGGGAGAAATTAATTGATGCTTGGCAGCGACCCATACTCAATGATGAGTGAGTTTCTGAAAAGAAAAAATATATACTCGTATATACATTGTAGTAATAAATAATACTTATAGCGGTCTGCCTGATTGGTATAAATGCGCAATCTTCAATCAATTGTACTTCATTTCGGATGGTGGCACTATCTGGTTGACGTGCGACTCATCGTTCGGCAAAAAGTTGAACTACGATGATCCCAGGTGACTTTAGATTCAAAAACAAAATGTATCTTTCTCTCTAATACTTCAAACTTAACACATTGTCTTCATATTCAGACTGGCTTACGGCCGTTTTGGTTATTTGGAGGGTCATGAGTACCGCATGTACAATACCTACGACGTACATTTCTATGCCTCATCTGCACTATCGCATCTCTGGCCGAATTTGCAAGTGAGTAACAGTAAATATTCTCTTTGTCTACTCCAATGATGATGATGTCCTTATCTCCGCATAGGTGAGTCTACAGTACGACATTAGAGATGCCATTGATGTTGATCTGCCCGATACACGCAAAATGCTTTACGATGGTAAAATTCTGCCACGACATATTAAGAATTGTGTGCCGCATGATCTCGGCGATCCGGACGAGGAACCTTTCACACTCATTAACACTTATAACATACACGATGTTAACCACTGGAAGGATTTGAACACGAAATTTGTGCTACAAGTGTATCGTGATTATTATGTACTGAATGAATTGGCACAGGCGCAGGCCGATAATGCCAGTAAGTTCAGTTCGATTGAGTTCATCGATAAGGATAGTTTGTATGAAATGTATATGCAGGATAATAAACGTAAGAATTCTGCAGATGAAAAGCAGCGTAAGTGTGAATTTAAATAAAATACCAAAAACAAATGCAACAGCATATCTGTATTGCTTTCACAGAAAATCGCAAATCAGCCTCTTTATACATAAATGAAACCAATGGCAAAGTTTATTTAATGGATTCTATGGCCTATTTGAAGGCAATGTACCCCGCTTGTAAGGTGATTATGGAGCGCACAATTGAATATGATAAGGATAATGATGGGCTTATTGAAAATATGAAAATGCCCGATCAAACGTTTGATACCTGGGTGATGGATGGTCCCAGGTAGGTGTGAAAGCACAAAATCAAAAATATACATAAAAAATTAAAATTAAAAAATTTTGAAATTTAAAAAATATATAATGAACAAAAAATTAAAACTGAAAAAAAAATTCAAATTAAAAAACAATAAAAAAATAAAATCAAAAAACTAAAATTTAAAAATTATAAAATCAACTGAAAAAATGAAAATTAAAAAGAACTAATAAAAACACGCCAAAAAAATTTAAAATTAAAAAAATGTATGATAAACAAATTTAAAGTGTAGAAAGTGTATATTAAAAAAAAAAAAAAAACAATTAAAAAGCTAATAAAACTTAAGTGAGAAAAATAAGAAATTTTGAATTAATTAAAATTTAAAAAAAAAAAGTTAAAAATTTAATTAACTAAAACTTTAAATTGGAAAAAAATTAAATTGGTAAAAACAGAATTGAAAAACTAAAAAACTTAATAAAAAAATTTTTTCTAAAAAAAATAAAAAAAATTTATGTTACAAAATTTTCAATTTAAAGAGTATTTAAATTAAAAAAATTAAAATTAGAACAATTACAACTGAAAAAAAAATAAAAAATTTTGAAAAACACTTAATAAAATTTTTGTTCCAAAAAAAAAAATTATATAAAAAATTTGAGTTAAAAATTTTCAAATGGAAAGAGTATTTAAATAAAAAAATTTAAAATAAGAGCAACTAAAACTGAAAAAATAGAATTGAAAAATTAAAGTAAATTAAAATTTTACTTACTAAAAACTTTAAATTGGAAAACAATTAAATTAAAAAAAAATTAAAAAACTAAAAAACTTTATAGAAATTTATTTTTTCTAAAAAAAATTTTTTTTAAATTTCTAATTGATAGAGTAGTTAAATTAAAAAAAAATTAAATAAGAACAATCAAAACTGAAAAAAATTAAAATAGAAAAATTAAAGTAAATTAAAATTTAAAAATTATTTAAAAAAAAATTAAATTGAAAAAAAAAAAAATAAAAATAAAAATAAAAAAACTAAAATTCTTAATAGAAATTAATTTTTTTTTTTTCTAAAAAACACCAAATTAAAAACAACCAGCTGTCACTTCTACCATTTTTCTTTGTTGTATAACAAATGTTTAATTCATACAAACAACAAGGCCTCGTAGTTTACTTAATAAAATTAATATATATATATATATAAATTATGGCCGCAAAGACAATTAAAAACATTTAGGTTACAAAATTTCGAATTAAAAAGTATTTAAATTAAAAAATAATTTAAAATAAACTGAAAAAAATTAAAACTGAATAAAATTAAAAATTGAAATAAGTTAAAGTTATCAAAAATTTGTAATTAACCAAAAGTTGAAACTAAAATAAAATAGGAAAAAAATTAAAGTTAGAAAAAATTAAATCAAAATTTTTAAAAAATTCAATTTAAAAAATGTAAATGAAAATTATTAAAGTAAACAAATATTAAATTCAAAATACAAAAAAATTAAATTAAAAGCAAAAAAATATAAATTAAAAAATATTGAAATAAGAATTGAAAAAGTATGCAAAAATTAATATTAATAAAACTCTATACCAAAAAATTAAATTTAAGAAAAAATTAAAATTAAAAACGAAAAAACAATAAAAAAATTTAAATAATAGAAAAAAATTAAAACTGAAAAAATAGGGTTGAAAAAATTGAAAAAAAAAAATTTTTTTTTTTTGAAATAAATAATTAAAAGTGAAAAAAATAAAAGCAAATAAAATTTAATTAACTAAAAATCTTCAATTCATACAAAAAAACCAAGCCTTACTTGGTTCACTAAAAAACTTATGAAAAAAATTCTTAGTATGGTCGAAAAAAATTTGAATTAAAAAAAATGTTAATTGAAAATAATAAAAAAAAAATAAATAAAATTGTTAAAATAAAAAAAATCTTAAATTCAAAAATTAAAAGAATTTATTGTAAATCTAACAAATAAGAATTAAAAAAGTAAAAAAATATAACCGTAAAAAAAAAATAAAAAAGTAAAAAAGACTAAAAAAACATAAAAGTAAAAAAAATTAAAAAAGTATAAAAAATTAAAAAAGCATAAAAATATTAAAAAAGAAAAAAATTAAAAAGTAAAAAAAAGGAAATAAAAATAAAAAAACAAAGTAGAAAAATTCAATGAAAAGAAAAAATTAAACCTAAATATATGAGGTTGAAAAAAAAAAAATATGGTTAAAAAAATGTTTAATTATTAAATTTAGAATTAATTGACAAAAATAATTAGGTGAAAATAAACTTATATTAAAAATTTAAATTTAACAAAAAAATTTAAGTTGAAAAATAAATAAATTTGAAAAAATTTAAAATAAGGAAAATAAAATTGAAAAAAAAAATCTTAAATTAGAAAAAATTGAAATTGAAATGAAAAAACAAAAAATATTAAATAAATCCAAGAGAGGAACAGCAATTGACTGTGCTTCATAAAAAATATGATGAATTAAATAACTTAAATTCTTTAAAGATTTCTTATTCACCACCTTCATTTTTCACCTCTCCGTTCCCCTCTCAGCGCCTACTGTGCTGGCTTATGGCTTGCTGCCTTGCAAACCATGTCAGTTATGGCTACGCTATTAGATCAACCGAACGATTGTTTACGCTTTCAGGATATTTTGGAACGTGGCAAACATTCGCTGGAGGAGAAATTATGGAATGGTAATTATTATCGATTCGATATGCATCATAAGGACACTATAATGGCCGATCAGCTGTGCGGACATTGGTACTTGAAGACATGCGGTTTCGATTATGAGGTGTGTGTAATTTAAATTTTGGTTATTGAATTAGATATAACCTCAATTTGAGAAATCTTTCATATTAAATTCATTTACATTTTTCGATTATGCACAAAGATTTATCCAAAAGAGAATGTACGCAAAGCCCTCAAACAAATCTATCAGAATAATGTTATGAGTTTCCAAGGTGGTAATTTGGGTGCTGTCAATGGTTTCATTGTTAATGCAGATCCCGGAAAACCCGGACATGCCGATAGTACTACGCTACAGAGTGAGGAAGTTTGGCCGGGCGTTACTTTTGCTCTAGCCGCTACCATGATACAGGAGGTGAGTTATACTAAATTAAACAATTTTTATATATAAACTGATTATCGTATACATGAAAATGAAAAATAATTATTTTAAACTTATTTACCGTTAACATAAAGAAAATTTAAAAGAAAAAGTAATAATTATTAATTCATATATAATACATTCCGTTTAATTAATATCCCTAAATTAATATACATATGTACCCACCGTGGTGAGTAAATAGTAATAATAAGAAAAAATTTCTGTATTTAGCAGAAATTATGGAAGCATCGCTCTTATTCTAGCTCTTAATGCAGTTATAAAGCACTGTAGTTGTATGGTTAATGAGCAGCATTCTTCCCTCAATATTTTGAATAAATAAATAAAAAACATATTATAAACTTAAGTTTGTAAAAAAGATCTTTTTTTTTTGCCATTTCCAGGGCATGTTCGAGGAGGGCTTTCAAACGGCCGGTGGTCTCTACAAAACCCTAAGTGAACGCATCGGTATGAATTTTGAAACACCAGAAGCATTATATGCGGAAAAACATTATCGTTCTATTGGTTATATGCGACCATTAAGCATTTGGTCCATGCAAGTGGCTTGGGAGCGGAGAAAAGCGTTACGCGATTAAATTTATTAAATAAACAAAAATTGCAGAGAAACATTTGAGCAATGAGAAAAGTGAAATTTTTGGTGTGCTATTATGTATAAATGCATGTTAAACCAGTTCGAGATTACACACTAATTATATAAACTGATACATATATACATATATGTATGCATGCTATATGTAAGTCTATTTAAAAAGGCGCAACTTTATATATATATTTTCTGTAAAAAAAAAATTCAAAGCAAGTTAAAAATTATAAAGCGGAAAAGAAAGTACAAGACTATGGTAAAAGAGCATGAATTTGAGAGCATTATTAATTTTTTAAAAATATTTTATTTATAAAAAAAACCAAAAATTCAAACTATACATATTATTATTTGTACAAATAAGCCTAGCTGTTAGAATTCTCAAACCCGAGAGAAAGAGTAGAGTATTCTTTTAATTAATGCAGCAAAGTAACAAGCACTAAATTTGATATTTTTGCAAAAAAGAAAAGCAACATCTGCGGAGTACAGACCGTTAAGGCAGAACAGATAAAGTAGTAGATGTGGTCCGCCCTGTTTTCCTGATTTTAATGGTATACATTTTTTTTTTTTGGACAAATTTTTATTTTCGTAAATATTGGGGGGTGTACGGGGATTTTTCAAAAATTATAAAAAGCTATATCTCAAAAATTTAAAAAAAAATTATATCGTTGAAAAGGTAGGAGAAATTCCTTTATTTTTTTGACCATATATATATATATATATACGAGGTGTGTTCAAAAAATATCGCGAATTTTGTGTTTTTTCAAAAATTATTTATTTATTCATGATTATCTATTTTGTACCCTTCAAAGTAATCCCCATGAGATATTATACACTTGTGCCAACGATTTTTCCAATCTTAGAAGCCCTCCAAAAAACAATTTTTATATCTTGTTCAGCTCCTCCTTCGATGTCGTCTTTATCTCGTCAATCGTAGCGTAACGTCGTCCTTTCAAGAGGCTCTTCAGTTTAGGGAACAAGGAAAAGTCACAGGAGAACGATCTGGGTGGTGGCTGCGGCATCATTAGTGTGTTGTTTTTGGCCAAAAAGTCGCGCACAAGCAACGAAGTGTGAGTAGGGGCGTTATCGTGGTGCATAAGCCAATTTTTGTTCTTCCACAAATCTGGGCATTTCTGGCGGATTGCTTCGCACAAATTACACATCACTTGCAGGTAATATTTCTTTATTGACCGTTCTACCCTGTGGCAAGATCTCATGATGCATTTCGCCCCTGCAATTAATTTTTTCGTCTGTTGTTGAAGTTCTCGGGCGTCCGGCCCGCTCTTCGTCTTTCACATCTTTTCGGCCTTCTGAGAACATTTTATACCACCGATAAACATTACTTCGGACCAAGGTAGCTTCTCCGTATGCCACAGTGAACATTATGAATGAATATGATACAGGTTCTTTGATCCCTTTTTTTGAATAGGTAAAAATCGAAGACCATCCAAAACACGTGAAAGCAAAGCAGCTGTCAACAATTAAGTGAACATTCAAAATGGCCGAGCTTGTCGGCATAAGTGACATTCATGAGTACCAACATAACGCCAAAAAAAAATTGAAATTCGTTCACACGTAACCCGCGAAAATTCAAAATTCGCGATACTTTTTGAACACACCTCGTATATAATTGACGCTTTGCAATCGCTCAAGCGATTTTCGGCCGAGCTCCTCCTCCGATTTGTGGTTTTAGGTCTTGATGTTTTTTCAACAAATGGAGAAGCCTAAGTTTATACTAAGCCGCCTCCAAACGGCTGACTGTTTTTTATGAGGAGCTTTATTTCATGACAGAAATCCAGGGTTGACATTCTCTGCCGAGGGGCGACCGCAATTAGAAAATTTAACTTAATTTTGTATTTAAATAAATTTTCTATAACTTTTTTGGATGTTATGACGACACCAGGAGCCTTCTGAATGGCTGTACACAATGCTAACCACTTGGCTACCGCGGCCACTACTTTCTGAAGGTAAATTTTGAGAAAACCCAGAAAAACAAAAAATTGTAAATTTTTAAAAAAAAAACCATTTTTTTCAAATTTTGTCGTATTAATCATAAGTTCAATGACCAGAAATGAAAAGAGCATAAAAATACCTTTAATTTGATATATAACAGGCATTATAAGTTCTCTTAAATAGTAGCATATTCGCGTAATGGATAGGGGTACAATCCCGAGCCGAACCAACACCGGCTTTGCCTTGCACAGTATTTTTGAGTGACACACTTGTGTAAGTTAGGCAATTNACAGACATGAGTACCAACATAACGCCACAAAAAAATCGAAATTCGATTATACAATACGTAACCCGTGAAAATTCAAAATTCGCGATACTTTTTGATCACACCTCGTATATAATTGACGCTTTGCAATCGCTCAAGAGATTTTCGGCCGAGCTCCTCCTCCAATTTGTGGTTTTGCGTGTTGTTGTTTTTTCCTACAAATGAAGGGACTTACAGTTTATACTAAGCCGCCTCTGAACGGCTGACTGTTTTTATGAGGAGCTTTATTTAATGGCAGAAATCCACTTGTAAGAGTTAACATTCTCTGCCGAGGGGCGACCGCAATTAGAAAATTTAAATTAATATTTTATTTTAAATAAATTTTCTATACCTTTTTTGGCTGTTAGGACGACACCAGGATTTGAAGCTGAGCCTTCCGAATGGCTATATGCAATGCTAGCCACTCGGCTACTGCGGCCGCTACTTTCTGAAGGTAAATTTTGAGAAAATCCAGAAAAACAAAAAATTGTAAATTTTTTTATACAAAATCCATTTCTTCTTAAAATTTTGTCGTATTAATCATAAGCTTAATTACCAGAAATAAAAAAAAATAAAAATACCTTTAATTTGATATATAACAGGCATTATAAGTTCTCTTAAATAATAGCATGGATAGGGTTACAATCCCGAGCCGAACCAACACCGGCTTTGCCTTGCACAGTATTTTTGAGTGACACACTTGTGTAAGTTAGGCAATTTTACGAGCTATTGAAAAGTGACTACAAAGTGTGATACGCCAAATTAAAGGTATTTTTATAATCTTTTTAATTAAGTTTGTTTTAAGATTGATTTAGTACACATAATTTTGAGTAAAGCTAGCTTTTCTATAAAAAAAAAAAATAGAATATTTTTTATTACAAAATTTTTTCCAAAATTTTCTTCCAAAAGTAAAAAGATATGTACATCCAAAAATTGGTATTTTCATCACCTTTCCGAAGGTTTTAAATTTATAAAAAAATTGGTTTGGTGTAAGACTTTTTGAGATACAGCATTTTATAATTTTCGAAAATTCTCTCTTCACCCCCCATATTTTCGAATATATGAAATTTGCCCCAAAAAAAAAATTATATCATTGAAATTCTAAAATCAGAGCGAACCACGACCTTTAATATATTTTGTTCTACCTCAGCGGTCTATATTCTGCACTTATGCCAAAAAAGCAGCACAAGCACAAGCTTTTTTAGTATTTGCGAAAAGTACAAAAAGTAGAAGAAAAAAGTTAAAGATAAATAGAAATGAAGTAAATAAAACGAATGCACCTGTTATAAACCAGCTTACGATTTATGTAACCAAAAAAACAAAAAATTATGTTGTCAGTGTTTTAGTGCATATGTATTTGTATGTACAGTGTTGGCGAAAACTAAAGCACCCCGCGCAAGGTGTTTCAAATAATGCCAAAAAAACTCAATGAAATAACTTAAAAGATTTCAATTATGTATTTTCTGTGTGTTCCTTGCTATTTCAACACTTATAAGATGTAATAAAAAAATAAAAAGCATTATACTATTAATTTAATAAAATTAAAAATATTCAAGCTATTTAAAAACTTTCTGGCACAACTAAAGCAGCCCCCTTTAATAGTAAAAATATTTATGTTCATAATTCAAAATTTTTACTATGACTTTTTTATGACTTCAATACTTATGTTCATTATTAAAAATTTGATATTTGATTTCTTACATCTTCAGCACGTCTTCAACACATCATGCTAAAATCTGCTTATTAATAACTAGTGGAATTGAGCCAAGTGTCCTTGAGAACCTCAAACTTTACATATTTTTTTGAACAATTTGCGCAATAAATTTTATAAAACACAATCTCCAAAAAGCTGTCGTATGCAGTAAAATCCAAAGATTAAGCATGCCAATCTAAGATTTCTTAAGAATTTCGCCATATAACCAGATTTTACAGGGTCTAGGTCTTTTTATGTCAGTTGCCCTGCTGAAATATTCACTTTAGTGACATTTCGTCCTCAGCTTATGGCAACATAACATTTGTAAAATATGTCTTAACGGTCCATTATACCCTCTATTCGATAAATCTTGCCGATTGTTTGGTCATAGAAGCAACCCCAGACCAAAAGAGATAACCGATAATTAACGTGCAATATTTCGAGTTATTTCATTGAGTTATTTGACTTTATTTGAAACACCTTCAGTGTATGATGGTACTTTAGTTTTGCCCAATACTGTATGTAAGGGTTTTTCATTGTCACAAAAGTATGAAAAAAACTACTAAAATATGCGTGTTAATTTTTCTAAAAATTGTTTAAATGTTATATTTTTGTTTGAGAAGGTACATACATATATATCAGGTGTACAACTTTGCTTCCGCCGTTTTTTTCCAAAATTAAAAGCTTAATTGCGAAAAAGTGCTTACAGATATATTATTCAAAGTATTGTCCTTCGCTAGCGACAACTTTCTCCCATCTTTCCGGCAATTTTCGAGTCCCGGCTCGAAAAAAAGAGTCCTCTTTGACGCTATCTGTTTTTCTATTTCTTCGAAGGATTGAAAATATTGATCTGCCAGGCCGTGTGCCATCGAACGGAATAGGTGGAAGTCAGAAGGGGCGACATCTGGGGAATACGGCGGGTGTGGCAAGACTTCCCATTTCAGCGATTCCAGGTTCTTTTTGACCACTTTTGCGACGTGAGGCCGAGCATTGTCGTGTTGGAGGATGACTTTGTCATGTCGCTCTTGATATTGTGGCCACTTTTCTTTTAGCGCGCAACTAAGGCGCATCAGTTGCGTTCGGTAGCGATCTACTGTGATGGTTTCACCCGGTTTTAAGAGCTCGTAGTAAATCCGAGCTGATCCCACCAAATACAAATCATAACCTTGTTTGTCTTCGACATAGAAATCACCATTTTTAAAACGTTGAAACCACTCCCGAAACGTTCTTTCACTCCGAACAGCATCACCGTAAGTTTCTGAGAGCATTCGATGCGCTTCAGCTGCATTTTTTTTCGAATTGTAACAGAAAAGTAAAACGTCGCGCAAATGGCGAGTATTAGGCATATAAACGGACATTTTTGAGCGTGAATAATACGAAAACAAGAACAACTGTCACTGAAATGGCGATGACAATTCGTTAGGCACTGTCCACACTCACTTTAAAGGCATTATCATCTATGTATTTCAACCAGCCCCAGCCGGTACAGCCACCTATCGGAAAACAGCGGAAGCAAAGTTGTACACCTGATAGTTTACAATATTGTATGCATATAAGTAAAAAGGAACATAATTTTTACACTCAGCTGTGCTATGTGTACAATGTATTTTAGCT